ATATAAAACCGCCTTGTTAAAAAAATAAAATGAAATTAACAAGGCTTTTTGCAGCGAAGGGCTGGCTGTATCAATCTCACTGGCACGATTTTTGTCATGGTATCAGGATTTCAGCATTTAGACAATCATCTTGTGGAATAAATACAAATAATTCTGAAGAACATTTAATTTCAGTACAAAAGTATGTGAAGTAAAATTTTTAATGAACTATTGTGTTACAAGGAAGCTTAATACACACCTGGTCCAGGGGCCCTACAGACATTTTACGGATATTATTTGATACATGATCCCAGGTGGATCCTTGAGGATAGCTTGGTGTGATACCTTGCCGGTACCAAAGATTGCCTGTAAAATAAATAGTCCCAGTTACAGCTCGGGATGTCTGCCGTGTCAAAGCGTTAGCTAACAACGGAGTGAGTCAGTAGCTCATAACCTACTGCGTTCTGTGGAGATGCATTATGGTTTTGACTAATACATTACAGTGAAGGACAATGAAGTTCCTACTTTGGAATTTGTATTTCTATAGTATTTGTATTTCCATTTGTGTTTTTATAGTTATAATCTTCCTGGGGGAAACGTTCACATAAAGAAATATGCACCAGAGAAGTAAAACAAATGAGATCAAGATCTCTGAAGGAGACTGGTGTTAAAGGCTTGTTTCTTTTACAAAAGGATACTTAGTTTTTTAACTTGCAATGATTTGCAATGGGAAGGTATTCTTCTTCAGTTTTGCGTGTTCTAGGGTTTTCAACAAATCCTTCTGTGCAATTCTCTTCTTTGAGAGTCATCTATCGCTTCCCTGCCCTCCAAAGTAACAGTATCAATGCTGGATTCTTGCTATCTAGTGCACTATCAGATATAACAAAACCCAAGTCTTCAAAACCAGTAATTAAGCAAGCTGCCTACTCCATCTCTTTGAATATAAAATAATACTCCTCTTGGAGCAACAGTAATCTGTCCACAAAAGCTCTGAGTTACCCTCTCCTTTTTAAATCTATCTCATGTACACCGATTTAATTTTTTAACACTGATAAATAATTCTTTAAATACCTTACCATTTTTATCCAACACAAACACAGATGTTCGTCCTACTGAGACTTGTTTTAGCTTTTGTTTTTGAGGTGAAGGAATATGGTACCAACAGTCACCTAAAAGTCAAAAATACTTCAGTAAAACATTGAGAAAACAGAATTATGGATGAGAAGTCTTGGAAATGTCTGCAGTTGAAATACATATCTGTGCAAGAAAGCTGTGAATGACATTACACTTAATATATTTTTACTAGCTTGTTTATAGAAATAAGCACTTTAAGTCACACAAATGAAGAGCAAATTAACTGCTGTAATTAACGTATTATTAATATGCACTATTTTGCACAGCTCTGCTAAACAAATTGGTCTTTTTCAGCCAGCAATATAGTCGAGCTTACACAGCATATAAAATGGAGACTGTATGAAAAAAGTACAAGTACTTACCTGCAGGTTTTTTTTGAGACACTGAACCCCGATAGAAGGCAGAACCATCTCTAGCAATAGCCCACACTTGGTAAAATGCTCCAACTGAGATGGAAATGAAGGGCTGATCTGTTCCCACATGCAGCCAGGATGTTCCCTAACAAATCACAGAAGATGAATTCTGAAGCAATCCTTAAAAACTCCACAACAAAATATAGCTGATTATTGCCAAATGGGAAAAGCCCTAGATAGTGAAAAAGTTTCTTAAGAATAATTCTTAAATAACGTAACAACTGAACAGAAACAGGGTACCTGATCCTCAAAGATACTTGGATATAGGACTCTGAAAACAGCTATGCTGGACTACAACAGGGTCTCTTCTGTTGAATTCACTGGAATTTAGGCAGCTACATGTCTCTGAATAGCTAGGCTAGAGCCTTTTTTTGTGAGAACAATATTATCACAAAAATCAAGTGATAGGGGACTTCAGATTTCAGACACAATATTACAGTTCTTGCTGTTGCAGTGCCTTTGTAACTGATATAAACCGAAAAAAAAATCGTTGCTATAAATTTTCAACTTGCAGTTTTTCTCCAAATTCCAGTAAAGTATATAATTAGATTGTTTCCCTTGCTGTAAATATGGCTTAAAAATCAGTGTATATCAACCATAATTTGATGTTGCAGCATGTAGTCTATTAGTAGGAAATAAGTACTCCTATTAAAGGTACTAGGACTGTTTGTTCCTTTCTGCATACTTTACTGGACATTTGTTCATTATTATTTCTGTCCCAGTCCATAAAAAAAGTCAAATCTGTAAGTTAGTCTGGGCCCACCTGTCTTAAATAAGCAGAGTCAGTTGTCAATGGACCAACTCCTGATCTCGACAGCCATTAGACTGGGACTGTACTTTAGAGAAATTCTATCCCTCAGCCGTTCATTTAAATGGGCTACGATACATTATCAACAATTGAAAAAAAAAAAAAAGGAGGAACTTAGCTATCAGTGCAGAAAGTGAAAGTAAAGTGCTTCACAGGAAGATATACAGGGGCTGAGAGAGGCTCCTGCAAGTGATGTAGCACAAGCTAAGGTAGATAATGCAAGAAAAGCACTGTTGTAAGAAATGTGGGCAGCAAACTGCGTTACAGTTGATGGACAAGGACTTTTAAATCTGAGACATGAAAGAAAAAAATGACAAGGTGTTCTGAGAGCGGGCACTGCATGATGGTGTGTACGTACTTGCATAATTACATTAAATACATCAATACGGCAGTAAAAATAAACAGGGAGCCTTACAGCTGGATTTTGCTGTGTCACTCCAAGCCTGCAGAGCACGTCTCCTTTGTCACTGATTGCCCACAGTGCTACTACTTCTTCATCATCTGCATCTGAACTGGGAATTATGGAGATGTCCCACAGGGTAACAGGAGGCACTTCCAGCCATGGCCCGTTGGTGACTATCTTACATTTTCTGAAGCAAAAAAACCCCAAACCCATCAGAAGTATGTACTTTCTATAACTGAATTTGTTTCCCTGTCCATTCTTGACTTCAGTGCAAACAATCCTGAAGTTTTTTTCATTAAGTAGGTACAATAAGCATTAGTATTTTTAATTTGAAAGGGGTTTACAACAATTAATCACATCTGTACCAGGTTTTGAATTCTGACATATTACTGATTTCTCAAAGCTTTTGTTTTATAAAAAACCTTACTTTATTATAAACCAAGGATGCCCAAGAACTCTGCAACTTGTGCTGCACTGCTCCCTAGCTCTCGAAAACAGCTGGATAGTGAATATTTGACCCCAAGCTGAGAATCCCACTGCAGAGAGAGCTCAACACCCGGTTCGTTGCTTCCTGTGTCTCGGTTAAGGGAATCACTTTACAGGTAGTATTTTGGTGGAGCCTGTTACAAAGTTATGTAGCATCCTGAGGTAAGCAGATGTAAGACAGCTCTGAATGAAAGAGCTGAAGGTAGATAATTCTGGGAAATTGTCTGGTTTTTCTATGGAAACTGCAAGAAAGTAGTGCTGCCTATTAGGGAAACTATGTTAGAGTCTATCATCCCAACAGCAATTTTTATGAAGACTATTTTAAAAATCTCAGGACATTCCTTCTTTCTCCAGTTCTGAAAAACTGGATCCAGCCCTGAGCTGTTCCCTATTTGTCTTCAGTTTTCAACTGACAAAACTAGAGGCAATGTTTAAGCTTGAGAGTATTTCTCAAGTTGCTTCTTTTATTTCAAATCACCATTCTGATTGATTGGATGTCGTTTGTTTTGTTGCACATCCTGAAACAACAGTTTGATGCTTCGGGACCTTAGGTCAAAGATTTTTGTACGAGGAATGAAATACTAGCTTTGTAGTCTCAATAACAAACAGAACAACGTGTAACTTAGTTCACAGCAATTGATTAGCATAGCTGTTAGAGACTTTAGTACAGAAAGCAAAGATAAGCTGGAAAAACAGTGAACGTGCAGACTTTCCCTACTTGACACAATAGACTAGAACGTAGTGGCAGTTTGCTGTTTTTCCAGGTTGCAGCTGAATATAGCATACGGTGAATTAAAAGGGGTTGGGATTACCTGTTGCCTAGTATGCAGTATGTGGAATTCTTATGTTTAAACTACTAACACAGAAGACATTATCGGTTGTTATAAGTGACCTAGTATGTACTAATATACGTAGACTCCACTATTCCTTAATCATTTACCATACAGAAAATCAGATACGTAGAATAATCTGCTGATGTTTACCTATGGATTCCACAAAATCGAATTGTGTATCTACCTGTAAAGGCTTAAAATTAAAGCTATAATGCTAAAGAATCACTGGAGATGGGTATTTATTGCAGGTTTCTTCACTATTGCTTTAGTTGATTGGGTGAGGAGACTCTTCCCCTCATAGCCAAAGGAGACTTTAAGGGAACAGTTAGCATTCACGTTAAAAACATTTACTTCTATCTTAGTTCCTCACCTTGCCCAGCGCCTCCGTCGGACAAAGTCTTTCATTGTCTTGTGACCATGGTAGGACCTACCAAAACAGATGAAAGTAGGCGTTTGTGAGGATGCCAGAGCATGTCCGATGTCAGTGCCAGCCTGGGAGCACTGTCGATGTATCTGCCCAGTAGACATGCCTGCTGACTGTACAACGCTTGAAACTATAGTTGGCTAAGCTCACCTTGCTGCCCTGCCTCTCCAGCAAATTTCCATGTCAGTATCCCCATACAAAGGGAGAAATCAAGGCACACTTGTCTCTGTTAAAGCACAGCTAATGTGTGAAATAGCAAACAAGAAGAAATGAGGACTTAAATGTGTGGCATTTGCCTGCTAGGATTTTAGGTAGAAGAAGGTATCTCCTTACGCTGGAAAGTCTGCTGCATACTGCCAGCCCTCCCGATCAGTTCCGCCTGAAGTATTAAAATCAATATACCAGTCGGACACCTATTGTCAGAAGGAGATAAACAAGCACAATCAACACCAAATGTATAATACAAACAACCTCTTAATGTAACACTATCTCCCTTCCACCTTTTGGAGTGCAGTGACTTGATAGAAACTTGCAATATAAGTTCATAGGGGCCCTATTTGACGACATGCAGAAGTTTCCAAGTCTTTTTAATTCTGCTGGAGGGAAAAGGATTGGAACAGAAGTCTAAGTCTCACTAAACAAAAAATTCGATTCAATGCTTAACATTCTTTTGACGTTCTTTTGGAAGTCTTGCTATTGTACAAACAGGGAAACCCAAGGTTAAATATTAAAATAAATCCAGGAAGAAAATTGGGGTCACTTGAGCCCAAGTTTTGTACCCTACTTGCTAAGGCTTGCCTTCATAGTAAAAGGATTTTTAAGACAAAATTTACCCAAGACCACTGTGGAGAAGGAGGCTTGGTATTGACTTTCGTACATTCCTGCAGGCCAGAGGCATCGCTCCACATGTATCTGTCTGTTGGCAGACCTCTGTGGTGAAACAGTGTACAAGGAATGCAAGGTCATTTACAACAGTGAATTTAAAAGGCGAGGGAAGAAAAGCCTGTTTGTAGCACCTCCTACTTTTATACACGAATCAGTCTTTCATTGGTCTGTATTCAGAAATACCACAGGGCTCATGAGTGACCAGGATAGTGGGAAAGAATCTGTACAATTGCTTCCTGTTACACCACACTTGACGACTATGTAAACTTTTCTCTGTAGAGTGATATTCCTCATTTCTATTTAAAACTGGAAGGTGAATCCTGAGTTTCTCTGGCACAGCCAGCCATATATGTGAGTGCTTGTTCAATACTTCTGTTCAAACATACGATTCAAGGACCCAATGTATTTAACACAGTATGTAAACGAATATATAGATCCTAAGAAGGACTGTGCTCTGTGAAAGATGTTGCAAGCAGACACACTTTGTTCATTCACAAAGCACAAATCTATAATGTTTTGCTACAAATGCATTTTGAATAGATAATTACAGATCCAGAAAAACTGAGAAACACTGCTCCTTCCATCTCAAATTAACAATAAATGTTAGAGGAGAGTGAAAATAGTATCACTGTAATAACTATTCTGAAATGCTAGAACCCTGTTTCATTTGACAGCAGTAAAAATTACAGTAAATAAATACAATAAATTGAATAAATAACCTGCTGCTGTATCCAGTGACTGGGTTCCACCGTTGGTTCTCATAGATGTAAACACATTTCACATCTGACTGTGTGTAAATGTTATCAGCACTACTGGCCAGTCCTGTGAGAAATAAATGATTTGGATTAAAATAAAGCTGAACCTTGAAGACACTACATTTTAAATTCCAATAGCCACAATAATATTACCCATTATCCTATTTCTCACTCTCAAGCTGAAAATATAAATAGAAAACTGCAATACTAATTCCTTCTCGAGTGTGGCCTGTTCACTGTATAACCCTGCGTGTTATTTAGGCTAAAGGAAGGACAGCTGAAATAGTTTCAATAGCTGTCCGAGCCAGGAAAGCATGTAAGATATGTGCATGCCATAGCAGACCAATTTTCCATACCTTGAATGAAGCCACCTCCATATCCACCAGTATAAACCCAAGCTGTGTGATCATATCCTATACCCCACACTATGCCTCGATTATTGCACTCTATCAGTCGAAGATGACCTCCAACTTGACGCCAAAACCTGCCAGAAAAAGTACAGATTTAGATTTAGATTTACTCTGCACCACATCCATCAAGAATGTGTACTTTCCCCTCCTACACCTCAACACTCTTAAGCAACTTTATATGCTCGTTAGTTCAACATCTGTGCAATCTGTAAGTGTAGGCAGTTGCCAGTTGAAAGCATTTCCATCTAAGTAACTACTGAAAAGTTAGTTGAAAAGAACTTGTCTGCCACTACTTGGAATTTTCAGGCTTTGCAATATTTTACTTTCCTTTTCTTTTATGGCTTGTGTTTTACAAACATATGTATTTAAAACACTAGTTAGGATGATCTTGCTATAATCTTTACATCTTAGTAGCCATCGTCTGCCTCAGCTTTACCTCCATCCTCATTTTTTAAAATCTACGAATTGCCTTTATCTAAGAAGAAAAGAAATAATTTATGTATTTGCTATGGAGCCTGGTAAAAAACAAGGGCTTTAGTTCTTCCTATTGTCCTAATTTTTGCAGGTTAATAATTTTCTGGAGTTTTACACAGCCAGTTAGCCATGGTACTTTTCTGGGGAATGGGGAAACTAAAGAGATTACAGAGTATTTTAGTTATCAAAATGGCAGGAAATCACCTAGGCCATGGATCCCCCAAACTAAGATGCCAGAGCGCATCAACTTAGTGATCTGCCAGATGTTGAAGGTGCTCTAGCTTGAAGGAAAAGGGCTAAAGGATCTCTTTTCTATTAGTCAATGACACTTTGTGCAAGTAACTTGAAACTACCAGTTTTGAAGTTGGTATGCTTTGCTTGAAGGGTTTGCAGTATTACATTGTCATAGTTTTAATAGAAACTATAAAGCAGCTGCCTCTGGACTGCAGTCATTACGGAGGACCAAGAATTTCAGATTTCCTGACTCAGCTAAAACTGAAAGCTCAAGTCACATTCCAATTACAGCGATTAGGTTTACATTTAGTCTAGGCCATCTCTTAATATAAATAATTATGGCATTAAAGACACAATCACCAAAAAATGGGATCTCAATGAGAAAGCCTTTTGAAATCATATTAATAGCTCCAGCATCTAAGAATTAAAATATGATTTGGTGAATTTCTTCGGATGTACTTATGAATATGAAGGCAGCCGTTAACCTTGCCGCTGACAGACATCTGCAGAGTACTACACTCCAACAGCCCAGCAAAGCCACTGACTCGACATGCGGCACAGCCTTTGCTGGGTGGCATCCCATGCAGAGGGAACAGCTTCTGCAACCTCTTACATTTGATCACACGGCATCAGGTGTGGTCCAGCTTCCAGCTCAGGACTGGGCTCACTAACAAAGATGTCTCCTTTACAAGTAACTGACCAAATGGCGTGGTGAGAAGGAGGGCCTTGAATCCGTCTGCTTTCGCAACAGGACATGTTCAACAAAGACAGCTACAAAACAAGAGGCAGAGAACCAAAACCTTTTGTTTACAGTGAGAACAAAAATCTCCATGGATGTTTCAGTACTACAAAACAAAGCTTTACCTTTGCAGGTTCTTGCAAATCAGCAAAGTGAATTAGCAGCTTTTTCTCAAAGGCACTGGAATTCAGTGTTTTAGAAATTATTAACACAATCTTTGGAACCAATGTGATTTGTAGTATCAGATCATTATGAAGTATCTTCAGGTTTCCCATTGCTTCAGCAGGTACGTGCCTGCCTGCCTATACATAAGACTCTCTACAATAGGTAACAGTTCTTTTTTTACCAATGTGAAAAAACAGACTGACTTAAACTCCTAGCTCATTTGTATCCTAATCTATACATGGATATAGGAGGGGAAGGAAAAGCAATTATTGGTTTTACTGTGTGTAACTGCAGCATCAGAAAGTGTGCAGACTCCACAGGAAATAGGAAGACTCAGGTACCCCTAAGTAAGTTTGAACAGACTCTTAAAATACCTAAAAGGGGAAAACAGATAAGTAAATAGATACTGTAAATGTAATACTGAGATTTCAGAGACTAGCTTTTATGTTTTATTCCAGATATTGCCAGCTTGAAATGATATATCCACAGAATTACCCAGTCATGCATTTCTTGCTCTGTTGAGGCTGCCAGGCAAATTGGCCATCGTTGTTTTGTCCTTTCAGGTGTATACAGTGCAAAGGAATGTTTGGCTTCATTCAGCACTTCAACTATAATAGTGACTTCATTCAGGAACACATGGATGTACTAAGACAAGAGAAAAAAAAAGTGTGACTAAGACAAACTCAGAGATATCTTCCTCAGGACCAGCATTTTTGCACGTAGGGACAATGAGCAAGGCATCCCTGCCAAAGACAGCAAAGAATCAGTTCTTGGTGCAGAAGGAATGGGGTTCAATTTCCAGTCCTGCCTTACCTCTGATGCCCATTGGCCATATGCTTTAACCCTATTTACCCTGGCCAGCTAAGCTTGGCTCTTTCTTAACAATCAGGAACTTTCGAAAAGAACTTATTAGTGCAAAGCTGATGGTTTAAGCAATGTGGATGGTCGGTGAATGGCTATTGCTGATACAGCATTAACACAGCTACAGCTTAGAAAAGCTTACAAATTGCTTAGAAAAGCTTACAAATTGCTAGTACCCTGGGCTACATTTGAATTGGTTCGCACAACTTAAAACAATAGCATACCATAATTAGCCTCCCTTAAGAAAACTGTTTTCCTTTCAAAGGTTTTTCTTCACCAAACGCAGCTCTCAAGGGTCTCAAGCTCAACACACCTTTTTCTCTTCGTGATACATATAATAGATGAACAGGATGCTGTCGCGCATTCCATCACTCCCAGTGAACTGCTCAAGTGCCACTCGAACATCCATCCATTTATGAGGCTTCCAATTCCTCCACCATTGCAAGGTTCCAGTTTTAACCCAAACCGACTGCAACACAAACACAAATTTAAAGGTGTAAGGAAACTACATGACTTTTTCTTTCTCTCAAATACTATTTTTTGTGACTGCAAGAAATCTCTGCTGCAGGTCAGTCTGTAGCGCATCAGTTAATTCTGACACAGAATATACCAGGGTGGCCAGGAAGCTGAAGAAAAAATGAAAACTGACAAAACTGGATAGAAAAGATGCTGAAATAGGATATGCAGAACAATGTTAACATTCTACCTCTACAAGAATACCGTAACACAAAGATACTAATTGACTGAAATGTGTTTCTATTATAACACAAGTTCAGTTTGGACTTTAAAGGCTTTTAACAGAATCTTTTTAAACTTGATTAAACCCCTCACCTCCAAGTGTTTTTAACCAAATGAATGCCAGATGCCATTTGGCAATTAGCAAGGAAGGGACCAAAACTGTGAATGAATGTGAAAAGAGCCGAGGGGTCATAACAAAGGGAATGTTAAAAAAAAAAGCTATTTCTTAAGTGGTGCTATTGATATTTCCATCATTGTTACTGTAAGTTACATTAACCTCTTAGTGGTCACAGAGAGGAAAAGTTCACCTACGTGAGTCACTGTTTGTAACAATAAAGAAGCCTCATCTTGGGGTGGAATAATTCGTACAGTGTTCCACTACTTCAAATGCTTGTCTGTGGATTTGAGGCTTCAGTGTACTCAAATAATGCTGACCAATGCTTCATTTGCTCCTACACAAAACTATCAGCTAATGTTTTTAGATAAAGGCTGAGGCTCCATGTTTGATAAGCTGCTCGTTTCCCACAGAGAGCTCAGACAGTGATAATTCAGGAAAGTTGCTGTAGACAGAAATAAGGACAGGAATATCAAGCTGACAGTAAGTTCAGATCAGTACATCAGGAATGTGTTACTGATGCCCAGTATTGATAGATGTGCTTAGCAGACGAGATAAGTGTTCTCACTGCTTACCTGCTCAATAGCCTGTTCGTAGTGCCTAAAATTCTCCAGCTCTCGCTTTGTTCTCTCACTGAGCTGCTGAAAAATCTGCTTTCGCCACGCTGCTGTCTGCGCTGGTGTGATAGACAGAGAGAGAGATTGCACAGAGGATGACAAATCTAGAACAGAACCAAAACCAAGAAACACCAGTGAGCTTTGAACACAGTTCCGTGGAAGGGAAAACACAACGCTGCTTTGAACACTGGACCGAATCAACCCTGTCTAACATAATATTTGTAGTTATTACACTTTGTAATCAATGTATTGCAGACAAACATTGTAAATGATGCACAGAAATGGGATGACTGCATGATTATATAGAATCTTTCCAAGCCATAACCTTGTAAAAATGAGAGTTCTGTAACTGAACTGCAAGACAATTAGGTAATACAATGCACTAAGTTACACTGTTATTAAAGACTGGAATACCATAGTTCATGGTTTACTTTGAAAATACCATTATATTCCACTGTCTTTCAAGAACCTAGATTTCAATCCCATTCAGTTATCAGCTGAACTCCCATTCACAATGCCTCTGAGTAATTTCTGTATCTTACTCCAGTCTCAG